GATCTTTAAAATAAATTGAGGAATGGCTGTCTTATTTTATCATTACTTAAAATGTCTATTTTCCAGGAATTATTTTTTAATTTATAGACTTGTAGGGGTACATGATGATTAGTAACCAGAGATAAACTAACAGGCACCTGTCCCTAGGTTATCATAATAAATACATTACCCACTGAGTAATAATCATTGCTTAGGAAAATCAACAGTTTATAATTTTAAGAAATGAAAGTACTAGGCATCTGCAAATAAAAAACTTGGTATGATCCATCCATAATTTTCAATTTAAAATCACTTACAAATTAAAATATTGGCTTACTTATACTTACTACATCTGTGATTGCAATGCAGGAAGTTTTATTCCTCCTTACAACAACACCATCCGTGTACTTATTGTTATCAATAACAGTATGGCACTCCATCTTGCGGCACAGGCAGGCATGAACAACACATTCTACAAATAAGGTCACAAATTTATTGCTGGAATTTTTTTATTACTAGATGCTAGGACTTCCAAAAATATAATCCGTACTATCTTCAGGAAACATACACAATCAGGTGAGCGATTCTAAAGACATATGGAAATCAAGAAAATATTTTGATGACCAATATGAAACCCTTACCTCCACTGGCCTCTACATCACTGGCAATGCTAACAGGCGAGCCTTTTTCTGCCTCAACCAGTTTTGTGACAGTGTTGACACCATGACGAACAAATATCTTGCGCTTTGTTGGGACATCCTCCTTGCCAGCTGCTCTTGCAGCAGCACGCCTGCGCAGCCTTGCCTTCCTAGCAGCTTTGCTCTCAGGACGATACTTGTCCATCACAAACGAAAACATAGCTCAGTGGCTAATAAAACATGAAATAAAACTCAACATTTCACCAACATACAATATGTAATATGCAAATTATTTACTTCAGTTTGATATTTTTTTATTATTATTATTATTATTATTATTATCACACTGGCCGATTCCCACCAAGGCAGGGTGGCCCGAAAAAGATAAACTTTCACATCATTCACTCCACTGTCTTGCCAGAAGGGTGCTTTACCACTACAGTTTTTTATAACGCAACATTAAACACCCCTCCTTCATGAGGCACGGCACCTGTATTTCCCATCTCCAGGGACTCAAGTTCGCTGCAGGTTTCCCTGAACCCCTTCATAAATGTTACTTTGCTCACACTATCAGCACGCGTCAAGTATTAAAAACCCTGTTGTATTATTCACTCCTATCAAACACGATAGCGCATGGCCTGTGGAAGTCCAAGCCCTCACACACAAAACACTCCTTTACCCCTCCCTCCAAACTTTCCTTGGGCCGGACCCCTACCCCGAACTTCCTTCCCTACACGACTTGATACACTAATTCATTCTGTTTGCTCCATTCTCTCTACATTCGTCGAACCTCCTCAACAAACCCTTCCTCAGCCCTTGGGACAACAGTTTTGGTAATCCCGCACTCCTCCTTAACTTCCAAACTATGATTTCTCTGCATTATATTCACACCACACATTGCTATCACGAACATGACATCTCCACTGCTCCAAGCCTTCTCCTCGCTGCAACATTCATCACCCATGGTTCACTCACCCATATAAGAGTGTTGGTAAAAAACTATTTACTCTCATTAACTTTCCCATCATTTGCCTCCTAGGAACACAAATAGATCTTTGTCTCCACTCGACTCCTAAGTGACAACACTAAACCCTTTTCCCCTCATCATTCTATGATCTCCTCATCCTTCATCGACCATCCGCTGACATTCACTCCCAAATTTCTGAAGCATTCACCCTCCTCCATACTCTCTCCCTTCCAATCCTGTCTTCTTTCAATCTTTCATCACCTAAAAAAATCTTTTTGTATCCTCATAACCTTACTCTTTCCTGTATTCACCTTTAATTTTTCTTCTTTTTGCCACCCTACAAATTCATCCCCACCTATCTCCTGCAAACTCTCTTCAGATCTCCAAAGAAGCACAGTTTGTCATCTGCAAAAAAGAGCAGCTGTACAACTCCCACTTTGTGTGTGATTCTTTATCTTTTAACTCCCGCCCTCTTGCCAAGACCTCGCATTTACTTCTCTTACAACCCCATCTATAAATATATTAAACAACCACCGGTGACATCACATTCCTTGTCTATGGCATACTTTTAATGGGAAATAATTAACCTTTCCTACATTCTCAACTTGAGCCACTATCCTCGTAAAAACTCTTCACTGCTTTTAGTTAACCTACCTCCTACACCAAACACTTGCAACATTCTCGCCACATTGCCCCTATCCACCCTGTCATATGACCTTTTCCAAATCCTTAAATGCACAAAGGCTCTGTTAGCATTATCTAAATTTCTGTGCACTTATATGTTTACTGTAAACACCTGGTCCACCACACCCCTACATTTCCTAAAGCCTCCTTTCTTTCTGATATCCTTTCTTCCGTCTTACTCTTAATTCTTTCAATAACAACACTACCATACACTTTACCAGGTATACTCAGCAGACTTATCCCCCTATAATTTTTGCACTCTCTTTTATCCCCTTTGCCTTTATACAAAGGAACTATGCATGCTCTCTGCCAATCCCTAGGTACCTTACCCTCTTCCATACATTTATTAACCCTTTGAGGGTTTTGGTCGTACTAGTACGTCTTACGCGTAGGGGTTTTTGTCGTACTAGTACGCATAAATTCTAGCGGCCTCAAATCTCACAGGAAAAGGCTGATAAGCCTAGATGTGAAAGAATGGGTCTGTGTGGTGGGTGTGCGCAGTAGGAAAAAAATCTGGGACCCAGTGGTGCATTGTGGGAATGCCATCATAGTACACAATTTCCACCGTGCCCTGTGGTAAGAAGTTCCTCACTCCTCGGCGAATTGGGACACTTTTGTTCCCCAGTGACAGTTCTAATACAGATGGAAGTGACAGTGAAGTTGAGTTTCAAGGTTCTGGTGAGGTTTTGACCGAAACAAAATGCCATAATATGGGTAATAGTGAGGAAAAACCCAGACAACCACAGCCTTCCACCTCTGGTGCTGGGCCATCTTGTTACGTTCAGTTGTACCAGAATCAAAGAGGAAACTCCTATTTTCCAAAATCCCAGACTCAGATGTGAGCATTGGTGATGATAGTGATAGTGATTATGAACTACAAGCTCTTCAAACTTGTTCCAAGAATGGAGGAGGAGGAGGAGGCAGAGGAGGAGGCAAGAGGAGGAGGAGGCAAGAGGAGGAGGAGGCAGAGGAGGAAGAAGAGGAGGAGGAGGAGGAGGAGGAGGAGGAGGAGGAGGAAGAAGAGGAGGAGGAGGAAGAAGAGGAGGAAGAAGAAGAATACGTAATGATAACAATAATACATAATAATAATAATACATAATAATAATAATAGGTAATAATAATAATAATAATATGTAATAATAAATGTTCACCCATGACAGTAACAAGATAAGGGGAGATAACATCTGATAAGTGCTGATGTTTGATGAGGGTAAATGAGGGTAGAGCTGATACCAAAAGATGAGATAAACATCTCCCTCCCTTTGTTTTTGCTGGTATACTAACATTTCTGTGTCTATTTGCCTGTCTGTCAAGCTCCCTGTCTATCCGTCTAGCTCTCTGTCTCAGAGAGCCACAAGACTGTGTCATCACTTTTACTCACATCTTCAAGCAGAGTATAGCACTTTGTCTGGGTTTCTTGGGTTATCCTAGGTAATTTATACTATGTATACTTGTATTTATGTGTACCTGTGAGACAGAGATAGACAGACAGATAGAAAGAGAGAGACAGATTGAAAGAGATAGAATGAGGGAGAAAGATAAAACACCATTGTGTATGACACCATGTTTCAGAGTTCCACAAGCTGCAGAACTAATAGGAATATGTTCAGGGGACTGTATATTGGTATATATATTATAGAACAATAATAATAAACAATGTTTTGTATTGTTTGTTTTTGTAAACAAGTTTTGTAAACAATATATTGATAATTATGTTTGTGGGGCTTATTGTGTTGTATACAACGAGTGTATATATGTACATTGCACCTTACTTTGGTCTCATAGGCCACATAAGTTATGTGAAAAAATAAAATAGTGAAAAAAACAACAAACCTTCAAATACAAGTAAACTAAAGTTTACCGGGTGAGCGGCAGTCGCCGCTGTTGCCATACGCGGCTCATTTTCTGCAAACTTCATGCATCCATATCTCCGTAAGTATTGATGGTAAATTTTTTTTGTTTATCCTATAATGTTTAGAAAAAAAAAAAAAACTATTTTTTCATAAGAAAAAATAATTTTTTTTTTTTTTGAAATTTGGCCGACCCTGAGAACGAGTTTCAGAGAGGGCCTGTCGACCCTCAAAGGGTTAAATAATTGCACCAACCACTCCAAAACTATATCCCCACCTGCTTTTAACATTTCTATCTTTATCCCATCAATCCCGGCTGCCTTACCCCCTTTCATTTTACCTACTGCCTCACGAACTTCCCCCACACTCACAACTGGCTCTTCCTCACTCCTACAAGACGTTATTCCTCCTTGTCCTATACACGAAATCACAGCTTCCCTATCTTCATCAACATTTAACAATTCCTCAAAATATTCCCTCCATCTTCCCATCAGTTTGATATATTAGGTGGTAATGCTTTCTCAGTATTAGCCTCTGTTAGCAAATACTATTCATCACAAACAATGCTGAACATCACATTCTGAGTAAGAGATTGAAGTGTTTGAATACTTATGCCCAACATTACCTTCACTTGAAGATAACTGGTTCAAAGAACCAGGAAAGTTCATGATTCAAATGAACATCTCTTCAATCCTGCACCGCTCTTAATGAGCCTAAGGATCATTTCAGTTAGGTGATTAATACCTTTCTGACGGTCAAGAGTCTGCTTGAACTGATGGATAGGAGGGGGTATCTTTAAACGCTGTTGAAGAACTGCCCTCTGACGCTGCAGACGTATGTACTTGGGCCATCTCACAAAGCGACTCAAATCACGCTTGGGTTGTATGTCACCACCTGGAGATAAATATACACTTAGTTACAGTATTACATTAGTAAATTACAGATTACATCTCTTTTTTTTGATAACTGTTTGATCATTCTATCTCATCCATCACATGACATGAAGGATGTGTGGGGAGATCCTCTCAATCTAACCCTTGGGACTGAAATACGTACATTAGTACAGTATTAATTCTAAATGGAAGGGTAAATACTAATGAAGTGAAATTGATTTAAATATAATTTTAGGCACCCAAAAAAATCCCCCCCCCCAACATGGGCCCGTAAAATATATGGAACCC